TTTACAGAAGTACCAGTATTGCTTGTATTGTTTGTTGAGGAACTATTCAGTGTACCTGGAAATAATAATCCTATTTTAACGTAAATCTTATAAATAAATCAAGAAATAAAGATCGTGAGAGTAAGAATTTTTTACCATTAGCATTAACTGTTTGTTCCTTGTGTATTGGATGATTTGGGTCCGCAAGATCGAATAATGGTTGTATAACCTCGGAAGGGAAAACTGCATTTTTTTGCCAAAGATTTAAAACTCGTATCACCTTGCTTTTGTCTTCCTGAGGACATTTCAGAAGGTTTAAGAAGGTGGTTTGCATGTTCTTAGCAAAGCGTGGAGCAAAGACATCTTTCTCTACTCCAAACTGGTGTCTGGATTGGCGTACAATTGAATCTATGACGTACAATCCAGGCACTTTGTACTCTGGCTTACACTGTAACATATAAATAACAATTAAATTACACATGTTCCAATAGTATTTTTAATGTAACTTTTAGAATAAACTACCTTTTGGATAAATTTTTCTACGCTTTGCACAACATGCTTGTAGAATTTGATTGCCTTAATTGCGCCCCTGGTGAGAGAGTTCATCTTTGCCTTGGAAATTGGTGGTTTGACATCATACAGAGCTGAAAGCTGAAAATAGAAGAAATAGTATGCAATTTAAATTGATAACTTACAGGAAGATTTGATGTAGCGAGTGGTTAATAAAACAATGCATGTATTTAAAATAATATTCTTTAAATACATTCAGATTTTGTAAAAAATGAGTTGGTTTTATTTATACGCTTTAGAACACGAGATATCTGAATTGATGTTTCATTTCTGTTTGTAATGTTAAGAAACATGACAATTTTCGGTGACAAATTTACCCACTCAATACATGAAAAGATATGTAAATGATAGGTTGTTGACTATAAAAATTTATCAGCGTTTTCCATAAATTACTTTGCACTACATGTTCCATTTAGTAAGTCTCCCTTTTACACCTCTGCCCCCAACTATCCCCCCACCATTCCCCCCCATCATCAACCTTCTTGAACACACACAAATACAAACATTTATTTTTCTATTTGGATCGTGTGAACGACATAAATTTCGAGTAACAACAAATAACCATCGCGTGGTACATCACGAAAACACTCTAAATCACACTAAAGGTTCTCTTTCACTGATCTCCCTCTTTCTTGAATATAGAGATAGTTGCTCCTTCTCTCTTGCACACAGACTAGAAAATCAAGCATTCGTCGAGCACGGAATCACTCGATTTCTCGGTACCACGATCACTCGGGAACGTCAAGGGAGATATTCCTTCTACAGTTCCGTTTCGTGTACGTGTTCCCGTGGGTGCACGAAACGGGAAGACGGAAAAGGGAGAAGGGAAACGAGAAACGAAAGAAAAAAAGGAACAAGGGAGAGTCGGCGGGCTAGGAGAAGAATCGAGGGTAAGAAGCAGCTCACCTCCGCGTTAAATGCCTTAACCGCCTCCATTTCGACGAAGGTGCGAAGCACCAAGGATCTGCTATGTTTCACAGGAATCCGTGATTATCGGGACGTTCAATGTTTTCGCGATAAATCGCATGTCTTTGCTCAGAGCGCACTGTCTAGCTGGGCCATGCCACTCAAGATGGCGACGCTATTTCCCGAAAGGCATCGCGGGGCGGTGATGCGTGACGTCACATGCCGCCGCTGTGCACGATCGGTAACGATTCGTGCTTCAATACCGATTGTCTTCCACCAATCAAAATCCTCTTAGATAAATGTTTATTTCAAACTTTATCGAAATTAATTTTCTGTCGTGAATTAGTTACCCGCTTTGAAAATAAATTGAATTAGTATTTCAAATCTCCACTTGAATCATAAAAATTTGTACATTTGCAATTACAGAGTCACGACTTTTAATACATAATTCGTATAAAATAATACGGACGTTTCTAATATGTATACATATATTTTTAATAGTTTATTAAAGTACTTTGATTTTCATTTACTTCGTGTTAGATATTCGAACTTTTTAACCTTTGGAAAAATCGTAATACCTTACCTGATGTTTAAATATTTGTTTATCTAACTACTGAGTGTGTTTAAAACTATACTATTTGTTTATATTAGCTATAATATTTGATATCTTATGCTTCGAATTGTAAATAAAGTCGAAGCTTCAGACACCAATGTCTTCGAGTTGCATATTTATTAACGAAAATTATATGTAATTTCTAATTATTTTAATAGTTTTCTTCGTTGTTTTGCCATGTATTATTTAAACACACATATATATATACATATAGGTTCTTTCAAATTTATATTAATTCATCATTGAACTGAAGTTGCAGAAACAGAGGTGCCAACTTTGCTTTTTTCAGACTATGCAGGTAAACTAGAGGAAACATAGAGATACTATAGTTCCTATGGAAGTAAACCTCAAATTGTCAAACTGATATTGCAAGTTTCCATAAACATCTATAAATTTAAACTCATTTGTAATACGTTTTTTGTGTAACTTTACTGATTGTGTATCATCTGTGTTAAATATTATATAAATTTAACCTGCTGTATTAATTACATAAATGAATACATAGAGAAACAGTTGTAAGGTAGAATGTATTCAATATTTAATAATCATTTTCTTGTAGTGACTTGCGAATTTCAAATTCAAATAAATAAAAGTTTTAAAGTGTTGATATTACCTAGAATTTTTATCGTAAAAGTTTTATTTACATAATATACATCAAAACCTTTACTAAAATGCAATTTTATCATTCATGAAATAGATACGAAGAAAAATGATAAAAGTACCAAAAGAAATTGATCTTGAAAATTACATTTTGATAATTCCATCAGTGGCTGTTGGAAATGTTGGACAATTATCCATCGATCTGTTGATCTCTAGTTTGAATCTATGTAAAATTGGATCCATGTGGAATCCTGCATTCATTCCAATCTCTGGTCGTGATCCTTATGATAAACATTCCAACTCTCTTTGTACAGCAGCTGATTTTTATCTTGGAACTTCGTGTAAAGTAATCCTTCTACAATTACGTTCACCTAATGTTGGTGATTCAACTGATTTTTTTGATGAATTAACGCAATTTATTCACCAAAGAAAAATCAGTAAGGTATGCATATTTTGTTATTTATTCATTTATTTTTATATTAACGAAGAATCTGTTTTCTAGATAATAATTTTAACAAGTAGTTACGACTATGAACAGTTTGATAGATCGGATACCAGCTTGAGATATCTTAGTTCGGATAATTCGTTACTGAACAATGAAAAGCTTCTTGAAACTCTTTGTTGGAAAAAGCATTCAAGAAAGACTTTAATGGACTCATCAGGAAGTTATTGCATTCCTGGTGGAGGATTCGCGAATGGACTTTATGAATATCTTAAGTCAATGAAAATTCCTTGCACTGTATTATTTTGTTACTGTTCTGAAGGAGACAATGTACATGATGCATTAATATTAGTCAAAGGTTTAAATCAATGGTTAAATCTATTAGAAATTAGTACAGATGGTGGTATTAATGTTACATATCCACCATCTTGGGAATACCTTTTTGGTAATCCACCTTCGTCTGAAATATATTAAGTATGGTGCTTAAAGCTTTTGTTATTTACAAAATTTCAATTTTAACAAAGTCAACAATACTTAATATTGTACAAAGATGAAATGTTTGGGAGAATTTAGATCTAAAACTTTGTTAATTAGAATCAAGCGCTAATTTAATCAACAGTAAATTAATATCAAATAATACTAATTGTAATTAAATAAAAAATATTGTATTTAAGAGAAAATCTCAGTGACAACAATTTATAATAAATACATTTTTTAATAATTCAGTTGAAAAATGTATAATTTTCATAATTTATTTTAAAAATGATATAAAATGAAATACTTAAGCAAGAAGCTTAAATTTAGAAGAAAAAGCAAAGTAGGAGACTAAAGCTGCTAAGAGAGCAGCAAGAAGTTCCGAATTGACCCAGGGTCCAAGATAGACACCTGGATTGTTAAGTACTACGACAACCAAAGGTTTTACAGAACTCGCGTCCTCTCCATTTCTATAAGCTTTACGTATGGCTGCGTATCTTTCTTCATCATACAGGTTTATTCTGTAATCTCCCGAATGTGCCTTCTTCACATCTTCTATCCAAGAAACCTAAAAATTTAATTTTATTACGACTAATTGAATTTCAATTTCTTATAGGAGATAATTCGACTTAAAAAGACACAGTTAATGTATAAATTTGTTTGATTAATACCTGATATTTGTTATCAGAGCTTAACCTAGCAGCAGGCAATGCTCTTCCTTCGACTTCTGCATACAATGTGATACCTTTCACACCATTGCTACATTTAAGAACAAACTGTGTCGTAAATGCAATGCTCGTTAGAATTGTTGCATCTTCCGTGACATATGCGGACGCAACAACTTCTGGCTTTTGGCAAGTTTCGCCAGAAATTCCGGAAACTGCACTAACTATTAAAATACAAACAATAGCGAGTTGATTCATCTTTCTTCCACTATGTTTTCGATTGATGTATTACTTAAACGTTAAAAAAAAAATTATATTATTAATTTTCTAGCTGTAAAACCGTGACTACTACCGGCAGCTTAAATCATGTTAGGTTAAGTGATATGATACAACCAATTACAACTACAAGTTGATCATGGCGGCCTCTTCGAGAACGCGTGGATATTCGTGGTTACACGTGGTAAAGAGTTGGAAACAATGCTACCAACTCTTCACTTCTAAAATTTATTTTTATGTTATTTATACATTTATCTCACTGACTGTACATAAACACTGATAAGCACTTACAGACTGTAAACCAGACATCATTTAAATAGTCACTTATAAAAATATTCTTTATTTTATATAATATTACAAGCAGGCATTACGAATTAGTAAAAATTAATAATATTGTACAATGTGTATATAACAGAGTATTTGGTATTTGAATACTTAAAAAATTGTTATCTACAGTAGAGTTTGTACCTATAAGATATCTTGATTATAATAAATTAATAACATACAGTAAATTCCACGTAACGCTTCTCAAGAATTAAACTATATTATAGCAGATTTTTTTGGTTCTTTCAAAATTGTATCAAAATTACTTTACATAGATACACGTAAAATGTTTGTTACATTAATAAATAATAAGAGAGTGATGTAAATAATTTGCAGTGATATAAAATCCTTATTTTACCTTGTACATACAATGTAAACTGTATAAGTCATGTATTAGCTAGAATAAATAAATTTTATAACTTGTCACTTTCTTTTTTGTAGGAATAATTTACATTTAACATTGCAATTTGATCTATCTTCGTATTATTTTTTATAAGCAAATAATACTTCAATTTCAAAATATAGCGTACAAAAATTACAATTAAATTATTTCGCTTAAAATTCAATCAAATTCGCTTCTTTTGTTACTGTACTTAATGCTGTTGATGATACAGCTGACATAGAAGAAGAAGGTTGATGGGAACGAAAAGTTGGGTACACAAGCAAGGGATCCTCTCCTGTCTTTCTGCTTAATTTCTCTTGAAGCATTATTAAACGTGACCGCCAATATTCGTAACTAGCACGGTTAAGTGCATTTACCCATTGTTCTACTTGAGATTCTGAACGCCCACTCAAAATATGCCTTTTCTCATGATCGTCACGAAATGCTATACTAAACGCGAATACTCCTTCGCACGCGCTATCGATATTAATACAATAATTTTCTAATACAATCACACCAGCTGGTTGTCTTCTGTCAATATGTCCTAATTCGTTGATATTAAAATAAAATAATAGATTGTACCTTAGTTTGAACCATTTTTCTTTAAATACTGAAAGACAAATAATAGGAGTATTAGAGAAACAGCATTATCAATTGTGAGAATATATTATAAATGGTATATTAAATATAATAATTTATTAGATTGTCGAGTATACGATATCTGTGTCATAATAGAATCAATGTTAAAATATAGGTTAGGTTAAGATGTATAAGAGTCGTTTGAATAAATCTAGGTAACACTTGTCTCAAACTAACCTGATTTATGTGCTCGTTTATGATTTAAACGACCTTCGAGAGCAGCATGACCATTGCTTGCTTCTGCAAGCTCTTTTTCATTGAATTTCATGATTCTAGAAGATCAATTATACTCCAAACATTCCTGCGTAATATGAATACTATATCATAGTTATAATATAATTCATATTATTGATTGCATCAATTCATTCAAAAATTTGTCTGCGATTACTTATTGTCACTCCAATATTACGTATATTTCATTATAATGTATGATCTTTCATCGATCTTCTCAACCTCACTTAATCTTAATAAATTATTTGTAATAATTACATATGTGATAATAATTATAGGAACTTTATTAAACTTTATCATCTAAGATCGAACATCAAACGTCAACATTAAAGTTCGCAGAATACAAAACTGAAGTTTTGAAATAACGCGTATTATTGCAGCAGGCTGAGAAACATGCATATGAATTCGTTGTGTTTTTTAAATAATTCATTGTAACAATCAATGATCCTTTCGATATACGAATAGATAGGTTTATTTTGCTAATGAAATTAGTAATATTAATTCCAATAAATGGATTAATCTTGTTCTATACAAAAAAAATGGTCAAATATGTATTTTTATAAGATTGGTGAACCTGTAAGACACATGTGCAATGTATTTCATACCGTTCACATGTAAAGTTTTGTAAATGTCAATTGGACAATTTGTCAAAATTACTGACATCGTGGAATTTTTGTTTACTAATGATTATGATTTACGTTTTCTACATGTAATTTGACAGTTTATTAAGCGAAAAATATATGATTAGTTTATACGCATAAGCAGGTTGTCTTATAGCGACGATTCATAATTATTTTTAATATAATTAAGCGATGGGATCGCTAACAAGTCGACAAAACGCTGGCGTTGAAGAAGTTGATATTGTTTCGAATCATGCATACAAATATCCACCTCGTTCTGGTTTGTTTCTATTAACTTTCAGATGTCTTAATGGCATGAAATTAATCTAAAAAATATTATAAGAATGTTAAAATATTTATGTAACAATGAACCAATTTTAATTCAAAATAAAATTACATGTTAATAGTATCGTACATTAAAATTTAGTTTTTGTTTAACGCATTTTACTCATTAGGAAGCTACTTTGGTAGCCATTTCATAATGGGTGGCGAAAGATTCGATACCCCTCAACCAGAAGCATACCTTTTCGGGGAAAATGCTGACTTGAACTTTTTAGGAAGCAGACCAACACCTGTAATATAATATTTAATATTGTAATTTTAAGATTGTGTGTAGCACTTGAAAATATCATTTTTATTTTAGTTTCCATATCCGCCACCACAAGCTAATGATCCAACTAAGACACTTAAAAGTTTAGTAAATATAAGGAGAGAATCGTTGAGGCTAATTCGTAATGTTGATCAAACTTCCACTTCACCTCAGTGTCATAGCGTGAAACATTATGGAGATGGTGATATCGATAAAAAGCCAAGTCGGTATAATATTGAATTCACATTTGACTGTGATGTGAGATGTGCAATTACAATATATTATTTTTGCACTGAGGAGGTCACCACAAAGGGAGTTACGTATGTACTAGATATTTTAAATGCATTAGAAAAATTATACACGATTTAAAAGATAAATTTATTTACAGTTATGTACCAAGAGATCCTTCAATGAATTCTGAAATATACTATTACAAAAAAGGTGCAAATCAATTATTTTCTCAAACGTCACACATATTTGATCCCACAGTGTGTAACGAAGAAGATTTAACGTATAATGCTGATAGGGAAGTATGTACATCAAATACATATTAGATTTATAAACACTTCGAATTATTCTCCCTTCATTTTTATTATTTACAGATAATACCAATAGCGATACACTGTGTGGCAGAAGAAGGCTCTGATGAACCAAAACAGTCTCATACAACAATTGCAGTTGTTGAAAAACATTCAGATGGAACATACGTGCTGAAGGCACTTAAGCAAAAGCTTTATGTCGATGGTCTTTGTTATTTACTTCAAGAAATATATGGTATTGAAAATAAAAATGCTGAAAATGCGAAGGTATATCTTATAAGTTCACAGACAATTTCATTTTTAATACCATATCTTATTATTGAATTAATCGCAATTTTTTTTTCGTAGCAACAAGGTAGCGATGAAGATACGGACGATAACGGATCGGAATGTGTCATTTGTATGTGTGACGTACGAGACACTTTAATACTACCATGCAGACATTTATGTTTGTGTAATGGTTGCGCAGATTCTCTTAGGTACCAAGCTAATAATTGTCCAATATGTCGCGCTCCTTTCAGAGCTCTTCTTCAAATTAAAGCACTTCAAAAAGCAACTGGAGCTATATCAAATCCGCCATTACCAGAGGTCAATATTTGTTCGTACAAGTAATTAGTAATGCATCCGTCAATGTAATAGTTTCTTGTTATATTTGATTTAAGGTAATAAGTCTGGCAATATTCCACTGACGAAGTATTAAATATTTAGGGAAGCTGCGAAAACATTCCATCTGGGTATGAAGCTGTATCGTTGATAGAAGCTTTGAACGGTCCGTATATCCCAAGAGCTGCTGGTCTTGCTCCAGAATCTCCAGACACACCCGATACAGATACAGCTAGTGCAATTCAAGCAGCTGAAGCATTGAATAGGCAAAATACTTTATTAATTATTTTAATGTTCAAATTATATTCCTTGTTTAATAAGATGCTTACGTGCGATAACTTGTAATTTAACAGGTCAGTAGAACGTACTCCCGTATCGAAACATGCATCTTCAAAGGAAGCAGATATATCTGCAAGGACGAGTAGTACTGCATGTCCTACCCCAGAGTTTCGTATGTCAGTTTTATTAGCTAGAGACGAACATTCAGGATCACAGAAGGATCTTCATAGTCGGTCTCCTGCAATGAGAACGAAAACTTCTGGACATATACGCGAGAAATCTCTAAGATCGCGAGACACTCTCAGACTTGTAAATGAAAAACAACCTGTTTCCCATTATGAGGTAATCTGATGTCTCTTGAATTAATTTGCAATTCATTTTCAAGTGTTTGAGCATTAATTTAATATTTACAGGGCCAAGGACAGGATGAAGATGAAGCAGAAAAACTATCTCCTCTATTAGATGCGGCAACTAGTACAGAAGCCCTCGATTCTCACAGTCATGGAATGTGTGACATAGATATTGACGATGAGATTCAAAATACAGAAAACGAGAATGACGCCGATATGCCATGTCACTCTCATTAAAGAAATATGCAACGTGTAAAAACATTTGATCATAATATCAGTTTTAAAATGTACATGTTATCCAATTACCTTTTGTAATATAAAATTACTTACATTCCTTTAAAATTATTTTAAATTGTAAATAATATATTATTACTTATAAATTATAACAAAATATCTTTTTGTTAAAGTTACTGACTCGAATCCATGGAGGAATATATGCATATTCATTAGTTAAGATTCAAATTTAATGTCTTAATTGACACAAGCAACTAATAAATGTTAACATCTATTTCATTATTTACACAAGTTTTTTTACCCATACATTTGATCCATTCTCTATTGTTACAGTCGCTCTTTTAAAACGTATGTCAATTAAGTTGCCAAAGTTTACTATCATTGCAAATTTTTCACAAACTAAAATAAATATTTTAAGAAAGGGTACCTTTAGTGTATTTTATATAATTATTAAAAAATGTTGTACAGTATAAAGGCAGAAAGAGTATGAAATAAGATTAATAACACATAAGTCTGTTTTAAATTGGTTTAATCAAAATGAAGACCAAAAGCTGAATTGTTGCTTAAGCGGTAGCAAGAATTCTTCTGAATTTCTTCCAATCATCAAGAGGACCGTGTTCAGGCAAATACTTGACGTTGCAACCATCTGGAGCAAGGCGACCAGCTAATTTCCATTCCTCGTATTCAGCTCGGTCGTATTTAGTGAATCCCCATTTTTTGGAAACATAAATCTTTTGACGGCCGGGGAACTTGAACTTCGCACGACGCAATGCTTCGATAACAGCAGCCTTATGACGGTCCGATGAACGTACACTCATTATAGGTTGTCCAATGTGTACTCTAGCTACTGTACCTTGTGGCTTACCAAAAGCTCCTCTCATTCCAGTTTGGAGCCTTAAAAAGAAAACGAAAGATAATGTTATTAAAATTCTTAAAATACTAGAATAAATATTTCAGTCTATTGTAAAATAAAATGTTTAATATCATTTATATACCTATCAGCTCCAGCACATGATAACATTTTGTTGATGCGAATAACGTGGAATGGATGAAGTCTCATACGAATATGGAATTGATCTTTTCCAGCATTTTTGACCATATACTTATTCGCACAGATACGTCCAGCTTCAAGAGCTTCAGAACTGAGCTGTTCATATTCATCGGACACTAAGTGCACGCATAATGGAAAATCCTCTACAGAGGCTTTCTTCTTTCCAAGATCAAAAATACGAATTTTCGGGTCAGGCACACCACGACAAAATCTTGATTTCGGGTAAGGTTTGTTCTTGCAATACCGATAGCTATAACAGAATGCAAATCATTCGTGTTACAAGTTGTGATGAAATTCCTAACCTCTAATACTATCTACATACTTTTCAGTATTTGGACTTTGAAACGTTACAAATTATTTTTAAATATATTAAACTAAGAAAAATGAAACATGTTTCATTATTTTCTTCCATTAAGACTTGAATCAAATTTAGAAAACGAATATTTGATTACGTACCATCTAGCTGGTCGGCGCCCCATATTGGCTGTCAATAATAAATAAAAAATATTAGTTCAATGCTCAAATAACAGGTCCAAAAAATTATAATAATAGTTTAAAACGATACAAAAGAAATGGATGTTTAATATAATTAAAGATTCTTATAGATTACGACAGACAAACAAAAACACTACCTTGTGCTTCCTAACGATGAGGAGAGGAAAAGAATTAGCAGTCTGAACTGAGGTACAGGTAACATCGTGAAGTTAACAACAACTCAAAACTCACTAGAGTCTAGTGACTAGAGTCTAGTGACTAGTTAAGGACAGTTTTCAATAGACGAGTATTTATTTTGACTAAAGTCGTCAACAATCATCGAAATCGCGTGTTGAATACCGTAAAAATATATTTATGACCATTTATAAAATGACAGGGTCGTAATGGAGTCAGCAGAATTATCGGAGGAGGCTCCTTTACGCGCGCAATTTACAGTTGATGATTTAGACATTGAAATATTACCACTTATATATGAAATAATTCGGAGGTTCGTGTATTCTAATATGTTTAGAACTATGCCATTTGCACTGTAAACATTGCTCTTAATTGTCTAAAATAAAAGCTTCACAATAGATAACCCCTATTTGTTTACATTATCTGAATTGTTGCAATAATACATTGTTTTTTTTATCTATAAAACACGTGTTTTCAATTCCAGAAATAACTCTGTTTTTATAAATGTTATTATAAATGGTATTATTTAATGTCATGAAATACTTGCAATGTTTACAATTTATTTACGGTTTCGTAAAAAATAACTTTTAGCAATTATGTATACAGATAAATGTTTACAACTATGCACAGATGACGTAGAAGTGTATATATTTTAGATTAAAATATTAGGGTTAAACGTAATTTAATCAAACCTTGTAACAAGATATACTTAGACTTTGAGACATTTATTATGCAATAAGTTCTTATAGGATTGTTTAATTTATTTTTAGTATTGAAAAAGATCCACATGATACTACGCAGAAGGCCAAAGAATCTCAGGATACAAGTCATAAGATTTTAGAACTGCAAAAGAAATTTGATTCTGCAAGGGCACAGGTGAGAATATTATGATAATGAATATTATATGTAATGAAATTTTTAGTAAAAAGATCTTAATATATTGTTCGTATTCTATAGATTAAAAGACTACCAGGAATAGAATACAGTAAAGAAGAACAACTACAAAAGCTTGAAACTCTTCGCAAACAGCTCAGACTTAAACGCGAGCTTCTATTAAAGTACCGTAATATGTGTACATTTGAAGTACCGAAAGTATAAATATTTATTCAACTGGCGATAAAAAAAAAGGGGGAATCATATCATTATGCCTTTTTTTCGTACATTGTTCTTGTACTTGATGAATAATGAACGTTTGATTAACAAGTTATCAGAATCGAGACCGGTTAGGCAAGCTGCACAATTCGTAGTGTACGTATTAAATCGCACAGGTACATTGCATGGCATGTCCCGAGTTTCTTTTTCTAATCCACAAGAATTCGTTAAACAATTAAAAAATATAGCCCAATCATTTAAACAAGACTTTCAGAAAATAAAAGATGACGTTAAGAAAAAACCGCCATACTAACCTCCATAGAAATGGTTTGTTATTTATGAAAAGTTCGACTTCGAATTAGATGTAGAATAAACTAGCTTCGTAATAATCACACGATGAATGACAAAGGATGTATATTTTGAATTTATTATCAAGGTTAAAATGAAAATAAATTTGAGTCCCAATGCTGTATCCATAATACTAGTTCCATTAATAAATATGTAAATAAAATTTTACAAATACTAGGAAATGTATAAAGTACCTTTCTATAATACGAAGAATGTATTATATAATTTTTGTGCGTATTTTTTTGTGAAAATTTTTATTTTTCTAATTTAAATACAGTATAAGTATAATATAGTAAGTGCATTATAACACACAAGCTTATACTGTACACTTTATATGCAAGTTATAAAAGTGATATTCTTTTCAATTTTGTTTTATGTAAAATAAATATGTGATACTACAAAGAAAGAACGTCTGAATATATTTTCCATGCAAATATTTCGCCTGACATCAATGAATGTCATATAGTTGGTTAACAAATCTTTCAAGAAAACATATATTTATACTCCTTATACAGATTATATTTACTAAGGATTATTATAAAATACATTCATACTTAGAAAAATAAAACACTTTATCAATAACAACGTACATTCCTTCAAACGTTTTAGAAACATCGTTTTTTTTTTTTAATTCCAATAATTTAGTTATAGCGTGAAAGACAAATTTGTACTCTAATTGGGTTGAAAGCACGACGCGTGTTACATGTAATAATTCAGGGGTTCTTTCTATGTCAAAGGAGAAAGATATTTTTGAAGAATACAAGCGACCCCCTACTTGGATAAAACTTCCAATTATAAAGAATAGTTTTATATATTTCATATAAATAACTATTAAAATAATACATTTATTTATATATAAACAAAGAGCTTTCAAAATATTAGAAATTAATAAAATAAAGAAAAAATGGTATCACTTGTATACTAAGGTTTCATTCTAAGACGGAATATTTTTTTAAAGAAAAAAAGCTGAAACAAAACTTGTATACAAGTAAAACTCTCGTCGTTAAGTGTCGAGAGTTTAAAACGATTTGTATATGTAGATTGTGTACATATATACATACATGTATATGAATTTTGTACATAAACATCGGTTATACTTTTGTGGGAGGATTTTGCTCCGAGAGAGGTTGAATAATACTATTAGCAGTATTATGAGATCGTCCTCCCCTTCGTCCCCTACTCGTTTTATTTTGACTCATACCAGATTTTTGGAGCAAATTTTCTTGTTTCGATGCCTGTCCTTCGAATGAAGAACTCGTCTCTGTTGCATCTAACGGCTAGTACAATGAAATAAATGCATGTTCATCATTACAAAAATATGGTATATACTCTTACAAAACGCAGATATGACATACTTGCATCATAGACGAAGAACTTTGACGATTCTGGGATGTTTTATTTGGTTTATTAGACCTATTTGTTTGCATAGCCATAGTACTAGAATATGGAATAAGTTTTAAAACATTGCCTACTGCTTTAGTACGTCCTTCTCTGAAAACCATTCTTTGTCCTGGTTTTATATACTCAGGATGCTTTATAAATCTAAAGCGCACTAAAGCTTTATCTCCAGTTCTCAGACAATCTTGTGACATAGAAATTATAGATGCTGTTTGCCTTATACTTCCACAGTGAACTGAAAATGATTTTGTATAAACTTGAGCATTAAAGTGGATTAGAAATGAAGCGTGAACTGAAAAGAAGAGTTACCCATTGCTTGATAACAAGAACTGATTGTTGTCGGATGATGCAACACGAGAATTTCACCTTCGAATTCCCAACAAGCCTGTGGATTTAATGCTGGTGCGACCATTACCATACCTTTTCGAATTTGCGATCTTTTAATTTTTTTTAACGCAAAACTAGCAGTCTGACCACCTCTCACTTCGCGAACAGGCATTCTTTTTCTATGTATACTCTTCACTGCGATTGGAATGAAACGACCTAAAGGATCAGGTCCTAGTAATAGAGTGTCGTTTAGTTTTATGACACCTTTCAGAGTTGTTCCTGAAACTACAGTACCAACACCCTACAAGAAAGAAATATATTTTCTTGACAGAACAGACATATTATTTTATATCTATCGAACTATTGTGTATTTCCAAATTAATTACATTGTTGTACATACATGCGAATCATATAATGAAACACTTACCGGTACTGAATACGTATCATCTATCTGAAACTCCGCTGGTTCATCGTCATGACTAGTTATCCTTGCGGTTAATAAATTCAAAAACATTTTAAGGAGATTTAAATTTTCGCCCGACACATTCGAAACTTGAAAAATAGGACACAACCTACGTAAATACATTAGCTGTTGAATATTGTTTGGTATATAAGTGACGTAATATAAAAATGAATGCTGACCGTTCTGACACAAAATTGGTAGCGCTAACGACGACGTCGTCAGGAGTTTTCACGGTGACAGGTACCTTCCTGCAACCTGGAGATTTCAAGATCCTTATCAATAGTCTTAAATTTTCTTGCAATATATTCGATGGACACATATCAATTTTCGTAACAACAACGAATACTGGTACTGACAAAGCTAAAGCTAAGCCTAGGTGTTCCTTTGTCATTCCGACGATGCCTGCGTTTGCTCCAACCATTAACATACCTAAAATATATATTACGTCTTTTCAATTCTACGAGGTATATAAGTAAACGTATATTCTATAAAATTATTAAATTGTTTTACCAAAGTCAGGCGCGTGTCCTGTCATTCCAAAAACGGTTGTTTTTAAGTACCTTTCGTGGCCAGCAAGATCAATGAATGTTATAACTTTAGAAGATTTTTCACATATTTTTACCCAATCCAAAGATCCGTGTTCTGGCTTATTTACTACATTGCCTAAGTACAGAATATGATGGATGTATATGATTCTATGAATAATATAGAAATGAAATATTTATATATTTGTGTCATACCGACACTGTCAAATCCAAGAATATCATTTCCAACCGAACTAGTACGACCTGTTTCAGCCTCGTGTTTATGACGAAATAATTTTTGACGTGCCAAGCCTCGACCGTTGTCAAGTTCTCCATGCGTCAATACACCCAAAAGTGTCGACTTTCCAGCATCCACGTTACCGACAACAGCCACTCTGTAAATAGACTTTGTTAGATCAACTCTTTCTATATTTTATTCAATTACACCATTTTGAAATTATCTGTATTATCTAAAACAGAAACCTAATTTCTAAGAAATCTTGTCTATCTAGACGCATTCGCACTAGATATTGTCCTACAAGGCCATGATCTACTTTATTCTGTCGTAGTAGCACACAGTCAGCTTCTAACGTAGCAGCAAGTGACTGCAAGGTGGCTACAGATGCTTCGTACTCATCTTCTTTTAAGCCATCTTCAGAGCCATCTAAAATAATATTCAAACTATAATATTTTTGTAAAAATTGTATGCATTATCGAAAATTAGATACAAACCTTCACCAATGCCAATATCAAAAATTGTTTCGCTACCACCATCTAGAATTCTTTCTTTTAAGCGTCTAAGTAGTAACTCGTATTGATCTTCTGACGGGCTAACTAAAACATTCTGGAATTTATTATAATTCATTGATTAATGTCATTCTAAAATACTGTAGATTGGAATAAAATGTAGAGATCCTATTTCCACCTACGCAATGCAATAGTGTTGCTTGAGAGTTACATGAGAGTTGCTTATATATAGGATTGTAAGTGTATTGATGAATAAAGTACATAATGTAAAGGTTCAATATATGCAACTGTTGCATTACTTTGGATGGTAAAGAATGTAAGACATCATACCTTTCCTCTAATACTAGAGTAATCCATAGAAATAGGTGCATGATCTTTCTCTTGCATTTGTTTTATGGTTGATGAGACAATGGTTCCACTTCCTGCCATGTTTACATGTATGTCTAGGTCTCGATAGTTCAATAAATCTTTTCTATCAATGGTTCCTATATAGCAATTTGCATAAAAGTTTAAACTGTCTGCGTACGCATTGGTGCTTTGAACATCTTCCAATATTTGAATCCAAATCTTCTTCTGTAGATTCTTGGTATTAGCATATGCATAACTGTCGTACAATGATTTTAATATTGATATATGTGTATCAACTTATCAAAAATGTATCATGTATGAATATTGTAAACACATTCCTTGTTATAAATCTGAAATGATTTTAAAAAAGAATATTACTACACAATATTTACTTAATTTTGAAGTTGTAAATTTAGAGAAATATTTCATTGATTCATAAATAAAATTGTCAGCTTCCTTAATCTATTTCTATAACTCATTGTGTGTATATATATATCTGTAATAAATTTATAATGAGAAATTTTAAGGTATAAATCACTGGACCGAATAAGAGAATTTAAACTAAATCTCAATAATATGAGATATCTTTGCAGAAGGTATACTATTTTAAATATATATATATTATTCGAGTCCATTACGCATTTAATTAAGAATGTTTTGTTTATATCTGAAGGGATATATTCCTAACATACTGCAAACTAAGTAGTATATATACAGCTCAAAGGTGAAAGAAAACTAACAATATGAAAGCTGATAGTTCGTTTACATAAGAACAATCATATTCGTTTACCTGTCATGAAACGTTTATGTTGTGCACTACTCCTTTGCGTAATCGCACCACAAAACTTTACGCGACAGAAAACACCAATGGACTTACGAAAAAGCTGTCACGATTGCGCGATCTCATTCCGTTCAAGATGTTATCTATAGCAATGTATAGTATAATATTCAGTAACATTGGTGCGTGGGATATCGTAAGCTATCGACCAAACTTATCGATAATTGAAACGACAGTCTCGATAATTCATCTGCTATCGATCCATTTAATTATTCAAATTTTTAATTCATATTTTTCAATTTGGTTTGCAAACTCTGTATGTATATATGAATATTTAAAAGTACGTTCGTAATGAAATACGATACGAAATGTACAATATTTGAAATTGGGTACGCCACTTTTAAACAATTATCCTTTACTTTTCATAAATGCATAATTAATACGATTCGTGGTCTTATTGCGCTACGATATACTTGTAAATATATCAAATTTATCATTTTCATGAATATTTATTTAACGCAGTAATAATTATGTAGCCTTTAGTTAGTGACGCCATTTTGCGGCGACTCTGGGAACTATTTTTGCTACAAACTTGAGCATTTCGCCACCGATGGCGCCACTGGTACTAAAACCGCTCACTGAGCGGCTCAATGCAGCTCAATGTGCTATGCCCTTTCTAGATGCACCCGAAATGCTTAATTAAAACTTCATTACATTTGATTACACGAAATTGATATCGTAACATGGGGGTTTCGATTAAGAGCTAGAATATCATCGTTCGATATCGTTTATTAATTATGCGTCTATTTCACCCCTTAGCCTACATTTAGGGCCGGCGCAAGGCAGGTTCAGCGCGTTCGCCGGAACCCGGGCCCGTATTTTGGGGGGCCCCGCGGTCTACGAAAATGTTGATTAACTTTTTACGGAATGATGATACATTTTTTTAGTAGCAATGATTCAGTTTAAAGGAGTGACAAAAATCATCAAAGTATTATTATTTAAATTATCTTATAAAAAATATATAATATGTAACAGCGTTTGTAAATAAATAATTCCTTGTTGTAAAATTTAAGTGTAGGATTTGAATGTGAATTCAGGCCCCGCAAAATTGTTGAACCCGGCACCGCAAAAGGTCACGCCGGCCCTGCGCCTTAACTTAGATCACAATTTGAGAACCTCTGAGTTAGGGGTTCGGGGGTAAACGTGCGCCTGAAAGATGGCAATTTTCTTATTGTCTCTCAAATAGGAAGAGTGGTACCTTACACACGAATTTTGATGTTACTTTAATTGAAAAAAAATGACTGAAGTGAAGAAAGATGACGTCGTTAAAATTTTACATACGTATCCTTTATGCAGAGTAAGTAAAATGTATATTACGTTAATCGTATTAAGAAATATTTGGAAGAGAAATAGATTCAGTTGCTTTCCTCTTTCGTCGACGTTTGATCAATAGAAGAAGTCATTAAGTGAAAAAAATACCATTTATATATATGTATACATATATTTAAAATGCATTTTTTTATTAAACTTGTTATTGTATACTTATTTTCGGATTAGGTTATCAAACTATTGAATTTAAGGTATTGTTCGTGCATGTATTATTTTACTTAAGTGAAATTCATCTTTATATTTAACGAAGCTTTTGTTATTGGATATGCGTAGAAATGCGATATGTCGGACGAAATGAAACAAGAAGCAATGGAATTGTGCGTCACCGCCGCGGAAAAATATGCGGATAATTACGAAAGCGTTTCACGAATGATCAAAGAGACGATGGATAAAAAATTCGGCGCTTCGTGGCACACGGTCGTGGGCGAAGGCTACGGATTTGAAATAACTTATCAATTGAAACACCTATTATACATGTATTGTGCTGGGAATTTAGCGATATGCATATGGAAATCGGCATAGTGAAATTAACGAAAATTTTAAAACATCTTGAATATAGAAACAATCGTACAAATCGTGTCTTTATGATTTCACGAACAGATTACTACTTCATATAAAACAATTTTCGTTTGAAGTAATAACTAAAGCTAGCATATTAAAAAAAAATTGTACAAAATAGATTTCCTCAAAATCGTAATTGATAACGTATATATTGACGAATTGACATTTACCATGTGCTAACAAGACAAAAAAAGAAGTATAAATTAAAGCATTAAACGCGAAATCAATGAAAAGAATTTTATACTTTTTCTACAAATAAAAATGTACAATATATAGACAAAATGAATATAGTTATTTTACTATTCATTTTATTTTTGAAATAACTTTATAGCATATTAAATAATTTGTTTTTATTTGTGTTATTGTTTAATAATATTTTTTTATGGAGTTCAATTTAGTCATAATATTTATTTGACTATATAAAATGTAAATTATTGTGTATAAACTATGTAAAAAATATTACTATTGTGTGTCCATGGTTTGTATGTAGTACAATTCATACACACAAAAATTGTGCAAGTATAAATATGTGTATAATTTTTATTTACAAAATTTATTGTTTATGTTCTTTAAACGTTGCAAAAGTGTTTACCTCGATTGTTGTGTAATGTTAAATGTGTAAAATATAATCTATTGTGTATAAATAATTCTATTAAAAATGTATCATTGGTACATAAATACCCATATACCTTTTCTAATGTATTAGTTTTATATTTTACTGTATAATTGATTCTAATATACGTGTATATTTGTTTCTGTTTTCTGATATGAATTAATTTATAAGTTAAAAACATTTATTTTCGTAAGTTACGATTACATTTAACCACATTTTACTATATCGATATACGAATATATATTTTATTACCATTTGAATTTTCATCTGTAAATTATTTTTCTTACTTTTATTTAAAAGATACGAAATGCTTGTCCAAAAAATGTATTTGTGACATAATTTCGATATTTATTCGAGGAATTATAACTGACTATATTTTTACATAAGACCTGTTTAATATATCTATTTATAATAATATAATTTACAATCTGGAACTGGTAGATTATGTTGTAACAAATAGTTAATACGCTTTGAAACGTGTATAATTGTATTTTAACATACCTGAAAAAGTTAAAAAAAAAAAAAAAAAACGAAACAAATTAAATAATACATACTAGATTTTTATGATTAATGATACAATAATAATCTGTACTACTATATGTACATAATAGTAAGGAATGATTTTAAATTACATAAATCGAAATTAATTTATTACATTATTTAATCGTAATAATAATACCTTCATACTTTTTTTTTCAACTATTTACTATCATCATTAATAATACATATGCTTTCCATTTTCCACTTTTGCAAGATGAATTCCCTAGTATTTACAACTCTTACAAAGACTTCTACACGCGCGGCTAAATCGTACGTCCCAGGAGCTGGAAGTAAAGCTTGTAATTTTACAGTATTGCTGGTGAGTGGTTCTATCTGAGAACAAATTGCTGAATGACAAGCATATCTATAGAATGTAGACGCTTGCGGAGAATACAATTGCGATTTTATATTTGGAAGATGTGTTCCACTGAAAAGAAACAAAATAATTAGTAGAATTGTTATTTTCGATGATTGTATAATGTATGATAATACAAACCTGCTAGTACCTATCGTATTGACTTTAATATCGATTTGTGATTCTAAATGATTCTGTATATACATTATTACTGGAACATAGCACAGTCGACTTTGATTAAAATTATGTGTGATCTGCCTAGCATGACTCAAAGAAAAGGAAACTATATTCTTTAAAAATTCCGTTTCTAAAATTTGTTCTTTATTATTCACAGCCAATGAATTCGGTATATTTTTATCTGGTCCAAAGATCTTCAAGCGGCCTCCGTATTCGCTTGGTTCAATTTGAATTTCCTTGGGATGTTTGTAAGTTTTGTTCAAATATTCAAGGTCGAGATGATGTTGACCAGTCGCTTGCCTAGTAATAATTCCACCTTCGATTACTTTCGCTCGCCATTTGAGAGTTAAAGTAGAGTTTAACGACATCGTTATAGACAAAGGTGTTTGCTCTACGTTTTGTGGCGCCCGTTGAAATTGTTGTTGCATTTCAGTTAAATTTTCATTCACATCTAGCGACGGAATATGCCTTCTTTGGATAAAACTAATATATGGATAATTCATGTTTGATGCTGTGCTATCATTTTCTTGAGATAAGGACACGTCAGAAAATACTGACTCGGTTTCGCTTTTCTTCCTTAATTTAAGCATTAAGTGAGACATTTCCTGAGGCTGTATTTTAATATCGGTTGGTAAGATAGATGAACTAAACACAGACCATGTGTTGCTTTCAAATAGTACTTCGGACAGCATAATTTCATTTGTAAGGGAATCATATACGTTATTTGCATTTTTAACGCAAACTATTAAATTCAATGTAGGGGAAATATCTTTAAATAATACACTTCTCGAAGCAATTGCGGTAATTTGTATGGAATCGAAAACTGTAAAGTACCACGTGTGTCTACAAAGTCGATATTTTATCATGCTTTTTGAATCGATGTTCTCGTAGTAAAAAAGTAAATCTAAGCGATGGGTTCCCTTTTCGTGAGGTGCGCATATCCACAATGGTATTGTACAAGTCTCTCCAACGTGTAATATATTGTTATCGGGATTTAACGGAATTTTTGTTACAAGTTTGTTACATTTCTTTGTCGTATGCTCTGAAATAATAACACATTAACATAAACTCATTATCAACTAATCGTAAGAAATATTAGTTACACTTACTTTCTTGTGTATTTGTATACTCATCTCCTAATGAGAACAATTTAGCATCCGTAGATGCTAAATATACATTTGATAACGACGCATTGCCTACATTCTTTAATGTAATTTCTACTTTTTGAATTTCACCGCATAACATTTTCGGAGACAGTTTACTAAAGAATACCTATAAATAAAATTGTATGATTGCATAAAAAGACATTCAACATTTACATTCAATAATTAATTACCTGCATAAAAGGTGCCTTTTCAATAACATTCATTTCTAATCTGTAATCTGTACCATACATATTCGCACCAGGTTTTTCTTTAACGTTCTTTAATTTAGGTCCTCTAATCTCAAACAATCTTTTGCCACTAATAGCTATTGTTGGATTAACGACTGGAGGATCTATCGCATGCGTTGGATTAGATAAATCATAATTTAAGCCTAACACTTTTAATTCTCCTACTTGCTTTGGTATAAGATACAGCGTAATATGTTGTCTACAAACTGGTTGCAAAATAATTGTTTCGATTACTTGAGCTTCTGTCGGCTTTAAATTTTCTGATAACTTCATTTCATTTGTAACTTGTCCATCGGCGGAAATAAACAACCATAACAAAGTTACGTTTGATAATGGCAGCGGTATATGTAACGGATTATATAATTCGATAAAAAAATGCACCGGTTCGTTCAAAACTGCATTTGGCTTTACGCTGTTATTACTTGTCTTAGAATACAATGAAATCGTCGGTTTGAATATCATAGGTGGAGATCCCTGAGCTTCTGTTATTAACATCTCTTCCATTTTTGACCATCTTACTTCATCGCACTCTTCCACATTAAATGAAACATGACTCGCTGGAATATTATTTTCGTATGGCGCAGCAACGGGACCGTACAATACTTTAATGCTATTACTATCTATTAGTGGTAAAGGCAAGATAGGAAGCCCCTGATGATTTGATAAACCTCCCTGTAACAGTAGCTATAATATGCAGACAGTAATTAATATGGAGTCAGTACATACAGATCAAAGAATTGGATTACATACATTATGGATATGTAAAAATTCACGTAAAAATGTGGCTTGTTGCGGAGCTGCTTGTTTGCTGTATGCATTCAGCAATTTCTCGAATGCCTTAACGGATTCGCAAACTTGTTTTAGCGATGCAGCCTGTCTGCCAATGGTAAAGTGTATATGATCTTCGGCTAACGACCAACCCCTTCCATTATACACCTAATAAAAAATACATAAATATACGATTAATCAACTTACGAAAAAACCATTCTATGTGATACGTTATAGATTAATTCAAAGTACCTGGTATGCCTGTTGGTAACATCGCAACGAATGCTTTCTCTGGCCCGCTTTTGAAAATCTATGACCAGCAAGAACAGCATGGAATGCGTACTTGCGCATCATTTTTGGTCCGATAAAACAATAGGCTGCTTGTTCTAATAAAAGTGCAGAACGCAAATCCGAGTCTTCGCTAGTCATACGAATTAATTGTTTCGCCGCCTCTCCATACAAACTTCTGCCTTTCAAGCATTCCGCGCTAAGAAGTGTTGCTCTAGTCGCAAACTGAGGCTTTTTACAACTGTTCGAATAAGTTAATATCGCATCGTCCATGTATTCGATAGTCTTTCTATTAGTTTCACCTTGCATGAATGCACTTAAAGCGGCCATTTCAAGAGCACCTGCGTAATAAAGCCAAGCTTGATCTGCTGCAAAATCTCTTTTCGCACTATGATATGCTTGGTAAGCAAGCGAATAGTGACCGAACATGAAACATAAGTCACCTAAGCGACGCAATTGTAATTCTGGCGATTCTGTTGTATAACTGAAATCCAAACAAGCTGGAACTTTATATATTTATATATGCTATGTTACGATTTTTTTTTTCGTATCTAATACTACACGAGTTATAATTATGAGAAAGGCTGATATATAAATATTGATAAACAACATACATTACAGCATTCGATGGAGTAGGTCCCGGTATTCCAGGTTTATTCGTTCCGAACCATCGTCTTGTAGCGCTGAAAAGTGATCTACTGACACCTTTTTTATTTGAAATTACATCGTTCAGTAGACCAATTTGTTTCTCTACATATGGAATTAAACTTTTTAAACAGAATTCTGTTATTAATGTTCGTAGTCTTTCAAGATCTTGAGTAGACAATCTAGCACCGTGTTGTGTTGCTACGTAACTCGGAGAATCTGCCCAAACGTTTACATTTATCGGAGTATCAGTAGCTGTCTGTCCTTTTGTATGTACAATGTAACTTGGATTTTGTGACTTATCAAGTGTTGGACTTAAGGGATGAATTGTCACAGATACAGCATCTTGTCCAACTTCTAAAGATGTATTTACCGATTCAGATACGTCAGAAGTAAAACTAACAGTACTATTTACATCTGGAGAAATCAATACAGAATTTTGCGGCGCTACTGGTGTTCCAGCCTGGCTCGTCCTGAAATGCAGAATCTATGTACAATTATACTGTTTAGATGTATATTTAAGGAACAAAGAAAACATACTTGTCGGTATCTGTTGTGACTTCATTGGGCATAGCAGAAACACCGCTAGTGTCTGCAGGTGTACGAGGGGAACTACCTTGTTCGCTACCTCCAGACACTTCCGAATGCTTTATTAAAAATTGACTCCAAGGATCTGGTAAATGAGTATTGTCATCAGCTTGACCTGGAGGTCTTGAATTCATTTGCAATAAAAAACAATTGTTAGCACCATAGATATTTTTCATTTCTGTAAAAACTATTTCAGCCCTGTAAACATTGTAAATAATTAATTTGAATGAATAAACTTCATTGCGCAAAGAACTTGAAAAATCAAAGAAAATACTTGTTCCTGTCATCTTGTATAGCATCATGTACTAAGATATAATATCTAAGTGTATTGTTATTAAACCACTTTGGCAATTCTCCAGGTAAACTTTGATGTAACTGTGCACCCATATTTTGTATCTTTTCCAAAGGATTGTCTTCTGCTGTAGAGATGACTACCATACAAGCAAGAAAATGCTTAGTGAATTCATGATCCGATGGGAATTGAACACTTAAAAACATTTCTCTCCATGCTTCGAACCAAGGAACAGACACGGGTATATCAATTTCTGTTGTTCCAATTCTAATAGAAGTTGTATGTTCGCACATAATCGAATTAACTGCTTCGTTCAACATTTTCCTAGCAATGCTTGGATCTGGTGGCTGCACGTTAACATCTTGTATAAAAAGTCGAAGATTTCTAACGGTTATTGTGTTTCCTTGCGGATCTTTAAAATGACCTATGAAAATGAAAGAATAGAATAGAATAGAAATTGATCAATGTTTTATAGAAATAATAATTTAAAGTTTAATTTGTACAAAGAAAATTGGAAAAGAATAAGGAAAAAGACGCTATCTTGTATTTATTGAAATATTTATCTGTATCATATTACTGATCGTTGAAGTTAATGTGTGGAAGTAATTGTAAAATCCTTACCTTCGGTATTTAGCTTACAGAACGGTTGCAGGAGTTCGACGAATGACAAATTATTTTTCTGACAAGCTGCGTCAGCCGCGGTCGAGCACACCGCAGCAATTTGTGGCGAAAATGCATTATTTATAAACTCGCGAGGGGTTAACTTACATTGAGCCATAATAATTCATAAAATTTATACAGGTAATCGAGGTTACGTATTACTAAAAAGTATGATTATACAACGATGATCATTTTGGACGCTACATTACTGACGTTTACTACCTCAGCGATCGACAGAAACCGAACTTTCAATACATCCCGAAGACGTTGTGATAAACATCTCTATCGAACAGCTGTTTTGTAGATATTTACCCATGGAGAGTAAAAATATGGAGATGACATATACATATCGCTGTATTAACCGGAAGTGTTTATAGGTGGAAATAAAATTTATACATATGGGAAAATCCATTTATTTTCAGACCTTGTCCTAATTACATTTGAAGCAAGTTTATAATGGCTAATCAAATATTGAAGGAATCAAGCAAAAGGAAGAGAGTAGGTCAGAGAAGCTTTATGTCTTATTTAGTTTCTTGTTATATTTATCACATTTAAAGTTGAATTAAAAAATCCAAGGTAGCAGACCATGTTTTATGCATGAAAATATTTGGACTAATTTGAAAGATTCTACTCTTTCAAGTAATTAAATTCCATTTTAAAAGTTGTAAGAATTCTATACATAACCCCTCTTGTGGTGAGTCCAAAAAGCGACTCGGAAAGGTCACCGCTCGCTAAGCCGCTCTGTGAGCGGGTTTTTGTACTGGTGGCCCCATCGGTGGCAAAACGCTCAAGTTTGTAGTGGAAACGCGTTTATAGTAATCCCAAGTATTGTTTTGGTTTAATAAATGTCAGAAATACATACTTTAATTATACAATATACATACATTTAGTATACAAGCATAATATTAAATATTCAATAATACATTGGTACAATAATTAAGCATATCTTTTAGAAAAAATGGCATCTCGATTCAGCGGTGCATTACAAATTACAAATTTGGATGATTTCATTACTCCATCTCAGGTATTTACTTTATTAGCTGATTTAATGAGATTTACTTTATTGTTTGTGATGTGTTATTATAAAATAATCTGTTTTTCTGTAGGAATGTATAAAACCTATAGAAATCCAAGCATCAAAAAGAAAGACTGGCGCAAAAATAAAAATCGAGGAAGATGGTACTCCTATGGTGTTAAATGAAGTATAAAATTTAATTATATGTCTTGTCAAGAAAACTTTGTCATCTTATTTCACAGTATTTTATTTCTTTCATGATTGTTAGGCTGGACAGTCTGAGAAGCTACAGAAAGTTGAAATCACACTTGCTGATTGTTTAGCTTGTAGTGGTTGCATTACATCTGCAGAAAGTGTATTAGTTACCCAACAAAGTCAGGAAGAATTACTGCGTGTATTTAGAGAAAAAATGTCTCAATGCCAGGTAACACTTTGACATGTATATATATTTTTTTTATATATATTCAGAAGCAACTGAACATTGATATTGTTTTTATGTGCATTGTTTAGAGCGAAGATGGTACTTGTTCAATATTTATAGTAGTCAGTCTTTCTGTACAAGCAATATTATCTATAGCAGAACGTTATAGTCTTAAACCAAAAGAAGCACAACAGAAACTAGCTGGTTATTTTTATCAATTAGGAGCAGATACAGTGTTAGATATGACTGTTGCAGATGATTTTGCTCTTTTAGAGTCTGCTAAAGAGTTTGTAGAACGTTTCAAAGCAGCTAAAGATGGTTCAAAAAATCAGTTACCAATGTTATCCTCTTCTTGTCCAGGTATATAATACCCATGACAATAACAATAATACACATATACAGCATATAAAAGGTAGTAGTGTAATACTATCTGTAAATTATATTTATATCTTTCTAAATACAGGTTGGGTATGTTATGCTGAAAAAACTCATGGCAATTTCATACTTCCATATATAAGTGTAACAAAATCTCCTCAACAAATTATGGGATCATTAGTTAAATATCATTTAGCTGAAACCATGGGTCTTTCACCAGAACAAATATATCATGTAACTCTTATGCCTTGTTATGATAAAAAGTTAGAGGCATCCAGAGAAGATTTCTACAACAATGAAAGAAATTCTAAGGATGTAGATTGTGTCATAACACCAAGTATGTACTTTGAACTATATTATGATAATACATATCCATCATATATATTTTAACCAACTTTTTGTAGTTGAACTAGAACAAATGCTTAACGAGCACAATTTGGTATTAAACGAAATAAACGTGAGGGAAATTCAAAAACCTTTCGGATTGCAAGTTGATAATATGAAAAACGAATTATATAGTCACAGTGGTTCAGGATCCGGTGGTTACGCGGATTTTATTCTTCGCTTTGCTGCAAAATATTTATTCGACGAAACAGATATAGTAGTTGAGTTTAAGAATCTCAGAAATCCTGATTTTCAAGAAGCGGTTTTTCAAAAAGATGGACAGACACTTTTAACATTTGCGATTGTCAATGGATTTAGAAATATACAAAATCTTGTACAGAAATTAAAACGAGGAAAATGTCCGTATGATTACGTTGAAGTTATGGCATGTCCATGTGGTGAGTTTCATTTAAAATATCTTATAACGAACATACTACATTTCGTTTTCTTTGCTAGGGTGTCTTAATGGAGGAGCACAAATTAGACCCCTCAATAATATTCAACCACGTGAATTAGCGCTAAAATTGGAATCTATGTACCGCGAACTTCCTCAAAGTGATCCTGACAAAAATCAGGTTGTTAAGAATTTGTATGAGACGTGGTTAGGGGGAGAACACACACATAAAGCTTTAACATATTTCCACACGCAATACCACGAGATACAAAAAATGAATGTTCCTCTTGCAATAAAGTGGTAGTTACAACAGATAAATGTATATTTTATATTATTTGTATGTTATTATACAAAAATATATCTTTAACATATTATTTAAAATGTATTATATAAAATGTTACTATTGAATGTAATTTGTAAATAATTTGTTAAATAAAAGTTTGTAAATACCTCTGGTAATAAACAAATATATACAATATTATTTAAATAATAGATTTATTAGACAACTATTTCACAAAAAGTAAAACACATACCTTAACGAACATAACCTATACTTTTTATAAAATAATAATCTTATAACTAAGTTTATTTAGTATAGTGCTAAAATATACAGCAAATCTAAAAAATTACATACATTGAGTACCAATTATTTTTTTTTTTATCACATTTACATAGTAATACATTTGTTCAAAGTGTAAAAGATTGTCTTTCATAGTTTTTCATATTATTTCATTGAGTAATCTAACATGACTAGCAATAAATATTAAAAAAAATAGTACTTTCTGAGAAAACTATTCTTTTATACTTCCTGTTTAACAGTATAATTGTACTTTGTATATACTTTGAAGTAACATCCTGTAACTTATGCATGTGCAACGTAATTCATTTTACCATGATATATTATTCTTAAAATTTTGTACTTTATACAAAACAAATTATACATTTAAAATAGTATATTTTCTAATGAAATAATACTGATGAAGTAATTGCAATGAATATAGAGAATAAAAACATACAGGTGTACAGATAGAAAAATTGTGAACATCAATTGTGTTCAAACAATTACATTAATATAATAGTATTAATTTGAAATGAGAGCTTGTTATACATAGCATATTTTTTACAAAATAAATACCAATATATATGTTTAAAATATATATTATTTTGTTTAAATAAATATGTATTTCGATTTTGTTTGAAACGATTATATATTATAAATATTCTTATCTTCATAATTATAATAAAAATAACATGTAACGGTTTTGTCACAAATTTATATTGAAATTAACAGTTAGTGACACTTTATGCACATATAATTCTATGTTTTATCTACCTTTCAATATGTTAAAATTTTCTTAATTTTTTAAATATTATATAATAATTTACAAATACAGTCACATATATTAAACAATTAAGAACTTAGGATAATATATTAATATAAACTGAGTAAAAATGATTGCATTCTGTATTTGTGCTCGAATGTTTTTATGCAGTACTCGTAATTTTTAATCTTTATTTTTTGTGATTCAATTCCCTGGACTTTCTCCATGACTGATCTATTGTCCCTCCCATTCTAGATTTAATTTGGCCTGAAGCATCGAATATAACTTATAAAACTTAAAGAACTTCAATTACCTAGAGTTTCTGTTATCTACAGATTCTTCATTTTCATTCATTTCCTTAGACTCCTCTTTTTTTATGTCTATATCTGCATAACTATCTTCGATATATGTAACCAATTCATTATTTGTACCGATCCCTTCGTTATTTGCACACGAATTTATTAGCCATCCCTGATTGCTATCTATTTCTCTTGACACAACAAGAAATAATTCTTTCTCCTTACTATCTATCTGGTCCTTTAGGTATACAAGTAAATCATGTTCCTAAGGACAGTTAGTTAGTTAGTTAAGGAAATAAGTTAGATATGCTTATAATTAAATCATTTACTAACCTTTCCTATAAGTTGCGGGGAATCAAGCTTTGAATCAAGATTATAAAAGGCACCATGGATCTTTTTTAGTGCGATCCAGTGACGTCTTTTCAAAGGAAGTAACACAAATCCTAATTTATATTCTGTTGGTACATTTAATATAAACCCTTCAATATTATCTAAACACAGACATTTGGGATCTCTATAAAATCCAATAAGTTTATGAATAACAAGTTTAAATTACTGAAACAGTACACTATTAATAATTCATTAGTTCCACAAACCTGCGTTTATCAAACCAAACTGCTTCCAGTCCTCTTCGTTGTAGAGCTGCCATAATAACATTAATATCATAATTACCAAGTCCTAATAATGATTTATGAGGATTAATCCATACATCTGGACTTAAACTATAACAAATTTGATCTAATTCTTGTTTACTAAATCCCCTTTCTTGAAATAAATTATTCAATGCATGTAATGCACAAAGCTCCTTTACCTATACAGAAAAAAAAATTGAAATTTTGTTAAACATAAGATAACACAGTTTTATACATTGTAGAATTGTAAATGAAGAATATAGAAGAAAATTATTTACTTGTCTTTCATGATATATGGATCCAGTCATATCAGCTGCTGTACTTGCAACCATTTTATCTACATAATTTGTTTCCTATATTATATTGCAAATTTTATCAATTAAAATCTTTCTGTTACAATAAAATTTACAAAGTTTTATAGTGGTATGTATTGATAACCTTCAATACTTGATAGCTCTGTGAAGAAAATGAAACGGTTATTTGCTCAAACCTGATGGAAGGCTGTATCAATTATTAAATAATTGCCACGAAAATACGTACTGCATTGAAAAATGAATGCTGTCACTTTGGAATACGCTATAATATCACGATAACCCAATGAAACGGAACGCCGACAGTATCGATGGAACATATGTACTTACATATGTTTGCATGTATGCATTTGTTTCTGTCATTCATAATTAGGATTTTTCACATATCCGAAACGAGTTTAAAATAACATTCACTTTCATCTTCGTAAATGTTAATACTCAACAACGATTCACAGAATTATGTAAAAAATTGTTTCAGTCTAATATACGGTTTTTATATAAACTAGAAAATCGCATCGCTGATTGGAGACTGGACTACTGACGAGCTATTCCAAGTTTACATATTAATATGGACATGGTATAATTGATTTTTCACTTCAAATTTTATTTTAAGGATGTGTCAATTGAAACGCACTGATACAGTTTCGCTAAATAATACGTACTTGAATTTCACAAATACGTTGATTCGATCAATTCAGGACCGTCTCTAGAGTGCATAGTGCCCTTAGGGCACTGTTTTTATATTATTAATTTGACATGTATTTATTTATATATATGTAGATACATAGTTTCGTGGTCGTCTACTGTTAATCAGCGACTTATAAATCGAAAAGCATTGCTGTAAAATGATATGCAAAATGTTAGAATGGAGAGAGCTTACTGTTATGTATGTATGTTATGTATTTTAGGTTATCAATATGACTGCCGTCGGGATCTGACCTCTGTTGATGAAATAAGCAAATTATTTCTTCGATTATGAGCTTTGGAAAATTTTAAGCCTCAAGGCCACTCAAGGCTCAAAAAATACTTCAAGGCCTTTATGTCAATTCATTTAAAGCTGCTTCAAGCTGCGTGCAAGCTGCAAGCTTCAAGTTATAGGGATAAATATCCTGAAGCTTGGATAATTATCTCTCTCAACTTTGATTTATTTTAACGTTAATATTTGTATATCTAATTAAATAATATCGAACTTATCAACAATAAATTAATAAATTTTACATGAACATAAACCGAAACTCAATGTTTTGGGGTTAGGTTGCTTTGTAATTATATAGAATTTTAAATCAGCCAATCAGAGTTGAAAATTATTATCATGCTCCCCTGACTGTACACTTAGTTTTGTACATAATTATGATTTTGCGAAAATGCACTATTGTCTTAGATAAAGTAAATTAATAATACAATCGAAAACATCATTTTTGCCTTCAGAGTTAATTTTCGAAAGATATCTTTAAGCTTGTAATGGATGTTGAATATAACCTCGTAAGAGAAATAGATTGTAAACAAGGGGCTGTAAGAGCAGTACGATTTAGTGGTGTGTATATTTACTTCAAATTAGTTCTTTTCATACAATTTTAGCTTTCTATTAACCTATAATATCCATTTGTATAATTTTTCAGTTGATGGTACTTATTGTTTAACCTGTGGCTCTGATAGAAAATTAAAATTATGGAATCCGCACAGAGGTGTTGCTTTAAAAATTTATGGAGGACACGGAGACGAAGTAATGGATGCTTGTGCATCCTGTGATAGTAGTCAACTTGTGTCTTGCGGATTAGATAAGTCAGTCATTCTTTGGGATGTGGCAACTGGAACTCCAGTTCGTCGTTTAAGAGGTCATGCAGGTCCTGTTAATGCTGTAAGGTATATCTCAAACAATTTAATGTATACATATACACATTAATATAAATATTTTATTAGTTTAGATATAAATAAAATCAAAATTTGTTTCAATGACAGATTTAACGAGGAGTCTTCTATGGTTGTCTCTGGATCCCGAGATAATTCAGTCATGTGCTGGGATGTGCGTTCTAAGGTACAGGATCCTGTACAATGCTTAGGCGAGGCTAAAGATTCTATTTCAAGCATCAGAGTATCAGATCACGAAATTTTAACAGCTTCATTCGATGGTAAAATACGTAGATATGATATTCGCGTTGGTGAAATGTATGGAGACTACATGGGTGGTTAGTAAATAATGCAATATAAAAATATGTTCTAACTGCAGATTATAATTGATTGTAATGCAATTGTTATAGATGCTGTGACATGTGCCAGTTTTACAAGAGATGGCCAGTGCATAGTGGTTAGTTGTGCGGATGCTGTAATTAGATTAATGGACAAAGATTCTGGAGAGTTACTGGGAGAGTTCACTGGACACGAGGCAAATAATTTGTGCCTAGAATCAAGTGTAGATATCCAAGACACTCGCATTCTTTCCGGATCGGCAGATGGAAAATTATGGATATGGGATCTAGTTTCTCAAAAAGTCGTTGCAAAACTTTCAGGATTTAAACCAACGAAACATCCCGTCGTGTCGTTGAGTGTTCATCCACAAGTAAACTGTTTTCTAGCTTCTAATGGATCAAGCATATTAATGTGGAGTGCTGCATCTTTGGTACAAGAATAATTCTTTAGGACCAAGAGTTGTAATCGTAATTCTCGCATGTTTAAAATAATACCACGTTATCATAAATACCATGCTGTATTACAATAAAATTGCTCGATTATTTCTTTCCTTGAACAAGCACGTTCAATGAAAATCATACTTCAAACGCCCATTGTAAAATATGAAAGAAACTAATACTTAGAAGGCAAAATATATTTTACGAATAGAGAAAATGTAGAAGAAGACGAAGAGCTACTCTTTTTCTGTGAAAATTTGGAAACGTTATCATCATCGCGGTACCATTTCACCTGCGTTTAAAAGGGGTGGAATATGGGTTAGGTTAAGCTGGGTCACGGTATACAGTTAAAGAAACAGGCTACGAGTACGCACGTAGCGTAACTTTAGCAAGGGAAGAAGGGAGAAAGAGAGAGAAGGGAAGAAAGGAAAGGAAGAAGGAGCACCTGCGCGCGCAGGTGGCGCGATATCGGTGCGTCAGAATCAGTGGTCGCCCCGTCTCGCCCGGGAGAGGGAAAGAAAAAGAGAGAAGGAGGTACGTTTCCGTACAGAGGAGAGAAACAGAGCGGCTGCGCAGGAGGAAGAAAGGACGACGTGTACGTATAACGCGCGAGAAGGATGGAAGAACAGAGGGAGTAAGAGATATACAGCGAGTGACACGAAGGACCGAAGGTGCTCGCACACGGGGCGGGCCTGCCAGTCTCAACCACTTCGTGGAGTGCACTTTTTATTCTGTACTCGAGCACGCAGCCACTCTCAATTGTCGGCTGTTTGCACGTACACGATTGAAGATCTGTGACTCGGCCGATGCAGAATAGAGAAACCGCGTGGTCTCGCTAGAACATTAATGGTAATCGGTCAGTACGTCGCGAGCGAGGATTGTTGTTGTTGTTGTTGTTGATCGATCCCCCCGGCTCGCCGGTTGTCAAAGTCACCGGATACACGGAGAAAATCGCGATCGTATCGGTTACGAACGGACGACGAATATCGAAAATCACTGGGACGGTGTGTAGTGGTGGAAACAGTGGTGGTGGAAGATACGAAGCAGACGGGTGTGCGACGAAAGAGGGTTGTTATGGGGCGAAGCTGTCGTCTGCTGGTACTTTCGCTGCTGCATTCGCTGGCTATATTCGGCTACCTCGCGGCGGCTGATCATTTCTCCACCGACAGTAAGTTTCCGTTATTATGTCGAATATATCGAAGCGAACTGAATGGAAAAAGAAAGTAGGAAATAGACCGGGGAACGTTTGTTGTCGATAATCAGTACGACCTAAAAATGTTGTTAAGCGTAGAAATATGTGCGAGATGTGTCGCGCGCCGGTGTCGCTTACATAACGGACGTCTTTCGCGTGCATTTTTCACGAGACCCTACGAATCGGTCGACGTAGGACGCGGGAAAGGAGGACAGTAACCGATATAAAAGAATATCTGACGTATGAGCTCGATATCTAAGATCTGTACAAGGGGGATGCTGGTGGAGCGTTGGGGCTGAAAATGGGGGAAGACCGCGATAGATGGAAGCACGTGAAGATCTCGCTATGCTTTCCCATTCGGTGCCCGGGGTGTTCTCGAAAACCCCGTGGAAAGCATAAAAGTGTCCGGCATTTATAATTGAAGTTTCGAGTTTACCTTATGCTTTCCAAGAACGCAACGAACCGAGCAATACGGGAATCTCCTTATTTACTTTCTTTCTGTGTTCATATTAAAACGGGCGGGGGGTGGGGGTGATTTGCGATGCTAATTTCATAATAGAACGCTTTTCTGTCTTCCTTTAAAAAGAACACTTCTCGTAAACAAATTCATCTAGCGCGAAGTTAAAGGTTAAATACGTAGATTGTTATTTGCTATGAATTACATTTTTTTTAATGTTTAAATAGTATCTAGCTTTTCCTTTCAATTTTAAAAAAATAATTAATAAAAGGAAAGTGATGCGTGCTAACGCTTTACC